CTGCCCATGAGTCTGCAGGGTGCCAGTGGCACAGCCTAAATCTCTCAATCCCAGTTCAGCTGCAGGTCTGGAACAGTCTGGCCCCTGCAAGCACTGACCATAGTTATTGTGCAGCTTTCCAAAGGGATATGTGAGTGGTAAAAAGACTGTTGCCAGTGGCATTATCCTAGGAGCTCTTCTATGCCAGGAAATGCGCACTGAACATCTTGACCATCTGGTTTGACCAGGATGACGAGCAGCCAGGTCTGAGCACTTGAGCTAGCTTGGTCTCAGTGTGAACACAGCAGGAGCTGCGTAACCACGTCTTCCCCAATTCTGCACTTGCCTCTGTGTGTCTGTGACGTGTGCCATAGCTCTGCGTGCCAAGATGCTTAGGGCTCTTTCCCACAACTGCTCGTTTGCCCTTCAGGGGAAACTGTGGGAAAGACACTGGAAGATTGCCGGCACTTAAGTGATCTTTGACCATATCTTCGTTAGGGAGTGAGGAGGTTTGAAATAGCCACAGTTGGGAAGGGAAAAAAAGGAGGGGGAGAGAAAGGGGGGGAAAAGATAGTGATCCAGCCTTTCTGTCCCAGCTGTGTAAGCTTGTGCAAATGGTTTGCGTTTGCTACCTCGTGGTGCTGGGTTTTGTACTGAGGAAGCAAGGAGTGGTGACCGTCACAGGTTAGTGATGCAGTGGGCACCCGCTCCTACAAAGAGCTCCTTCCATGGCCAGCTTCCAACAGTGTGTCCTTTGTGATTTCAATACCTGTGAGAGCAGCAAAATTATGCTCCATGCCAACGACAGAGCTTGGGAGGCAACTGAGACCTCTTTCTGTGGCAGATCCATGAGATCAAGTGCTCTGATCAGAACACAAATGCAAGAACAAATAAACCTTTCTGAATCCAATCAACCTGGTTATTCTTGAATTCCATAAATTAACTGCCAGTAGTGTTGCCTGAGAAGAGGTTGCTACAAACATGACTTATAAAGGGGGGACATCCCAACTTTGTGCAACCCATTGATTGCATTGGCGATTTTCCAGGATCCCCACAGGCTGCTGCTAATTGGCATAAAACTAAGCAGGTTGCAGCCACCCTCATCTTTAATACAAAGAGATGGCCCCCAGGAGACTACAGGTTTCAGTGTGTGGCTGCTCACACTGAGAGGGAGCACAGCACGCTGGGACGTGTAGTCTCCTTGGGCCCTTTCTCTGTGTTGGCAGAGAGCTGGGGAAGCTGCAGGCTGCCTTGGACATCTTTGTGACAGTTTGACCACACCTCTCTCTCTCTCAAAAAAAAAAAAAAAAAAAAGCTTTGATTAAGTTCATGGACTGTTAATGAGATTTAAAAAGGAAAAAAAACCCAAACAAATATAGTTTCCTCCCTCTCTCCTCCACCCAGAAGCAGACTACTGAAACCAAAGCTGGAAAAAATAGTTGAAAGACAGCTAAAGTCACCTTGGTAACTGCAGCAATACACTTGCCCAGAACAGGAGACATCAAACCCAACTACAAACAGCTTTAAAGAAACAAAAAGAATGTAATCATCTGAAGAATTAATCTGACAACTGCCCACGTTTACACCTCCCACAAGCTCCCAATCAGAGGGAAATGCGCTTTAATCTCCTCCAACTCCCTCCAGTTTCACAAAACATGAGATATGCTGTGCTTAAACTGGGGCATTTCCGGCATGCTGCTTCCATTTAAATCTACAGCCTTTCCTAATGCAGCAGCTCTGACTTTTGCAAGCTTGTTTTTTCTGGACACTGAGAAACATGATTTTTTTGTGTGTGTGGGTTGGATGAAGTATTAAATCTGGAATAGGCAAATTTTGCAACATTTTACGTGATAGTCAGCTAGATCTTAGTCATAACAAGTAAAAATCCACTGGCTTTTGCTGCTGATTTATTTGGTGATGGGGTGGGGGAAGCAAAGGCTTACAAGTAACTGACAGTCATAAACCCAGGGATGTTAGTGTTAGAAAGCAAACTTTTTCTACATTTTCTTCTGAGGCTGAAAACTACAAGCTGTGGATGGCAATGTGTGTTATGACGTGAACTTTTTATTAATAACAACCTAGAAGTCTTGCTGACCCCTCATCTGGGCCATCACCCTTTGGAAGGGTCAGCACAAGGATTTCCATTCCCAAAGAGAGAATTCTAATGGATCTTGCCAAGTCCCTTTGTCATGAAACATGTTGCAGAGTCTGAGAGTGATGGCACTGTGGCCTCTTGATGTGTTATGTGCAGTCCACAACACACAACTTTTGTTTTGAAAGGTATAGCTTAGATAGAAGGTTATTTGATTTCTGCTATTGGAGTTTTGCCCTTAACTTTAAATAGCTGAAATTGTGTGAGCTTCACTAAAGTGAAACAACAAACACAGAGACTGTGACTGTTTTGGAAAAGTTTTGTGAAAAGGATTAATAATTTCATGTCATTCAAAGTTTTAACTACCATTTTGCTTCACTCCTTCACCTTTTTGACAGAAGGGCTGGTTACTTATTAATGTGAAGTCATAATTATTGACAGCCTTAAAGTCATGACAGTTCCGTTTGATAGTTATACATTAGTCAACATCTTCTCTTGAGCATGTAATGACAAACAGCGTTTGCTGTTTTTAATAAGACTTAGAAAGCTTTGCCCCTTGCCTCCAGAATATTGTCGTCATTCCTATTATTGCATTAGCAACCGGAGGCTGTTTCCCCTCCGGACTGCGGCCCCATTGTGCTGGCAGCTGTACTGCCTAGCACGGTGGAAACCTAAAACCCATCTTCAGCTCAGGGGGCTTGGAGCCCAGGGGCATGGGGAACTGTCCTGCGGCTGTCTGGCCTTCTGAAGCAGGAACCTACAGCAGCGATTGCCTGGGAGGCTGCGTTACGGACGCACCCGGCGCACTTCAGGCAGGCCAGGTGAGAAGGGCACAGCCTCTGTCTGTGGCAGTAATGTTTCTGTAAAGCTACTGATCTGCTCCAGGGTGGGTAAACTCTGCAAACGCGTTTAAGGAGTGCAAGCTCATGACCCTCTCGAAAATCATGCGTTGCTAATGGCTGAACCTTTTGGCAGGGATTGATAAATGAATGATTGGAAACCCTAGACCGCAGGCTGACTTTCCCACAGCTCACTGTGTATATAAGATCTGATAAGGAAGTTGGGGCAAAGCTTAGCTTAAGGTCAACTGATCATTAATCAACTCTAACTGCACTTCGCAGGTAATCAGCCTGCAAAATGCTGGCCCACTCCACTCTTTGAAGACCCCACCTAGAAAGAGCTGTAAAATGTTTGTTGAAGTAGATTAAACACAGCTTTAAGTGCTGCCTATAGACTATGAAGTAAGTTGTGTCTTTTTTTTCAGGGTAAACCCACCAGACTGACACTCTGCTGTCAGTCCATCAGCCCACCCTGTGCATAAGCTGTATCCTGACCTACTGTGTCCTTGTTGGGTCCGTTATTGCTTTTGCCTGTTGATAAGGCAGAATGTGGGACACATTTTACAGTTGTTATCTTGCAGCGAGCCGAGCTGCTCTGATTTGTTTTCCTGCACGTCTCTGACCTGGCCATGCAGAGTATTTGCAGGGAGGTACTTCCTGCAAATCAGAGTTTAACTTGTATCCTCATTTCAGAGTGGACATCTCAGCAGGCTAGGTGAAAGGCTTACCTGGGAGTGCATGACCTGGCAGTAGCAATAAGCTGTTCTGCTTTGGTATCCACGCTGAACTGCGTTGTTCTGTGTGCGGTGGATAGGAGTAATTTTGGGACAGCACCCAAATGTAAAATCAAGTAGATGTGTGATCTAAGTCAGCTTGTGAGGGTCAAGCTGTTTCTTTACAATCATTTCCAGATGATTGTAGGTGATTTCACTTGGGTGGATGAAGGGTCCAGTCTTGTTTTAACACTGTTCCCAAATGGAGCCACAGCCTTGTTTGGCTCTTGGTCTGTCTGGCACGATGGAACCACACTGCAGTGTGCTATCTCTCAATTCACTCCTGCTTTCCCTGTATCCCTGCTCTGGTGATTCTGTACCGTAGAAACTATCTTAACAAAATTTTACCTCCTTTTAAGTTCACATAGAATGCCAGGTGACAAGAACATAAATCACTTTATCGGACACATCACATCAGTCCACATCATCTGCAAAAATTGTAAACACACACACATACCCCCCCCCCTTTATTATTTGTTCTAGACTATCAATTCAGGGATCATGCTGATGCTCTTTGAACATATAAAGTGTTTATGGTCAAGTATTTTGAGATATACTGGTTTGATTATCTGGAGGATTCTGTCTGGCAAAGTTCCTAATCATGTAACAACATAACCTTTAGTCGCAGCTTTACAATATGCTGATCTTGCAGAAATGAATTAATAAGAAAGCAAAGCTGCATTGTCTTAAAGCAGCCTCACTTACAAGGGAAAACAATCTGTGGATGTTCTACTCATCACAGGCAGCGTCCATCTTTTTGCTGTTGTACTTGATGTTGGATGTGGAAGCAGAGGGTTCTTAAAAACCTTTTGGTTGAACTGTGGAAAAAAATAGTCCAGAGACAATTGTAGGGATGGTTCAGACATCAAAGATGGTCAAGCAAGGGCACAGGGGACTGGACAACTCTTTCCTGAAGGCCACTGCCAAAAAATCCTGAAGATAAAGCAAAAGCAGGAGGGAGGACACACCTGGTATGAGTACATACATCCTTCCAAGCCATTTTATAGTGGTTTGGGGTTTTGAAGGGTGTAGTTTTGCTCCAATACTTTCTTGAAATTTTATTCATTGTATGCTGGGAAGGGATGCACCATGCGTGTGCACCAGTTCAGATTCTAAGTCATCAAATCAAGGTGAAGAGCTGCAAGGTGGGACTCATAATGAGGGAGGCTGTGTGTCTGTATGAGTGATGAAAACTCAGATGTGTCTTCATAACTGTGCTCCTGTGTCCCTCAATATTGACAGAATCACTCTAAAACATGGCAGAAACTGCATACAGCACTGGGATCCTAAATATGTGCATTTTATCCCTTCCCTTAGAAGCCGTAAGGACAGTTTAGAAAGCGAGAGCTCAGCAGCTATCATTCCTCATGAGCTGATCCGCACCAGACAGCTGGAGAGCGTGCACCTGAAATTTAACCAGGAGTCCGGAGCTATCATTCCCCTCTGTCTAAGGTGAGTGAAGCCATCCTCCGCCTCAGCTTGTGCTAACACGCCACTTTTGCCTTGTGGCATTGTTTCACCATACAGACATGCATGCAATGGGTCTTTAAAGGCCAGAGCTGAGATATTTTGCCAAAACACATTAGAAACAGATGATTTTTTGCATGTGCGTTCATCGTGGTAAGATTGTTTCTCATTCGTTTTATGTCCTCCAGTGTATTTTGAGTTCTGAAATAAGGCAGGGTTCGTATAGGCATTTTTTTTATTAGTCTAGTGCTGGCAACTCTATGATAGAGAAAGGATGTTTTATTGTATTCCATCAAAGAAAACTCTTAAGCTGTTAATTCTGGCTTATGGACTCAGACACAAGTGTTCGTGTAAAGCCTGTTTGCAGTCAGTTTACATGTGCAGGTGTTTTTTTAGACAAATTATGTCAAAAGGAATGAAACTTTTTGTGCACACTCTACACGTTGTCCTTTGAAGGTTCAGGCTGTGCATGCCACCATGAGACTTTTCTAGGTTTCCACAATTTCAGTCAGTGCTATTTTTAAAATTAGTTGTGGCAAATGTAATAAGTTTATCTCAACATAAAGATGAACTGTGGGATAGAGACAAATGATTGCAGGTGACTGAGTTACTTTAGCTTAATGAGTTACATGTCTGTAGTATCAGAGTTATCAACAGCAGGTGCACACTTGCCTACGCCTGTTGAGAAACCAATGGGATAGTTAACAGAAATATTTTATTTTACATCATAAATGCGTCAACAGTCTGTCCTGATCAGTTACCACAGCTCAGCAGTAACTCATCAAGCAGCTGTGACTCTGTTAGGTGCTATGTATCTTACCTGAAGTTTTCCCTTTTGCAAGTTGGAAGCCATGCATGCGTGTGACACATGCTCTGTGCCTAAGTACCAGAGCCATGATTTTCCCTGTGGAAAGCATCGAATTAAAAAAGCAGCAGTGATAACATAGGTGGTCACATATGTATATTTTCTAGGCATTTGCATAAGTAATACAGGTTACATTTGTCAAGTACCAGGGCAATGGATTACTAGATATCGTCACAGCAGGTAAGTTTGGCCCCACCAATGAGCCTGCTTAGAAGTGTATTTTCACATTCTCACACAGTGTGCAGTCTGGATTGTCTTATGCAGTTTTCATCTTACTGGAAGACTGACAGTCCCCTGCCCTTACATACATTGGCACCTCGTCACGGGGATAGGCATGCAGTGGGATTTAGATTTAGATTCTAGTTCTGTGCAGGGCCCTGAGATTAAAGGGGAGATGGGGGCAGGAACTCCCTGCCTCAGAAGGAAGCTTGTGACCTGCTTTGTGGAGCAATTCGTTCCTATGTTCCTGAAAAATTTGATAGTTGCTTCCTTCAGTATGGATTGCCATGCTGATGGCAGAAGCTATAGTGATATATATTTACCATTCTACTGAATGTTGTTCACACCCTCTCAATTCACATGCCTATGTTTTATTCCCCAGGGGGAGGCTCTTACATGGACGGCACTTTACATATAAAAGTATTACAGGGGATACAGCAATCACGTTTGTATCAACAGGAGTGGAAGGAGCCTTTGCTACAGAAGAGCACCCCTATGCAGCACATGGACCTTGGTTACAAGTGAGAGAGCCTCCTTCCTTTTTCTCCCCCTTCATCCTTTACTGTGTCCTAAACAACCTGCTAAGGTCTTATGTGGTTTAGAAGCGTAACAAACCTGTATTTTCTGTGGCAACATCTCTCCTAGCTCTCGCATAGTATTTTCAGTAATTATGGACTCAAAAAAATGATGTTAAACTCTTACAATTTATATTAATGGAATTAAAATTGATAAGGGGTGGCCGGAAAGTTCAAAAATGATCTGTGAATGCAGTAGTGTCCGTTTCCTGGAGTCAGCAAACACTTTAGAGGCTGTATTTACTCTTGATTTCTTCCAGAAGGGAATTTGGGGAGGCAGAGTGGGATGACCTAAACAAGAATGGAGCCAAGGCGGAAGAGCTAGAAATCTGTGGGACTGTGGTCCTACAGAGCCAAGATGTCAGTTTTACATCATCCTTAACAGGAAAGCAGCACAGAGAACACTGCTTTTTTTCAGTTTTAGCCCTTTCCTTTTGATTTCTTGACAAAAGCTTGTGACTGCTTGAAGCACTCACACATTTTCTGCACCCAGATTTTTTCTGTGTCACAGATTTTCCTTGGAAATTCCCCATCTGTTTGGTGTTGAGGGTCTGCCCTACAGAGCAGTGATGCACTACTGATACGATGGAGTAACATTAGCCTAACCTTGAATTTCTTCATGGCCATAAACATATTGTGAAAATAAAAAAGCTTTGGGAAATGTACTTACCTAGAAAAGAAGAGCCTGTCTCTGAGGGACTCTACGTGTGTAGTACATCTCTGCCTTTATGTTATTGTGGCATGCCTGTCTCCCCCTCTATTTGAAGGCAGGCATTTGTTTTAGCATTGCAGAGTTGCAGTTAAGCTTCCAGTGAGCATTCCACTGCTTGTGTTCATATGTCTGGAGGACATAATACCTTCAAATGAGTATAACTTGTAAAGAAGCTGATCTTGGCTAGAATCGTCTTGTGTGTGGGGATTTTCAAAGAGCTTGTGTGTTTTGATTGTACTGACTGGAAAGCGCAACACTCCTGTAATGATTAACAGCAAAGGGTCAGGTTTAAGGGTGGGTCATTTGATGTTGGTTCCTGTGCTTGCCAACACATGATACACAGGATCTTGTGACTGTGTTAACTACAAACATAAGAGTGTTTGTTTGCATTTACATCACATCTCAAAATGTATTGGTGTGTGGAGTAGTCAGGTAACCTCTATAAATAGTGAAGAATGGCCATAATTATGTCACCATTCAGACATGTAAATAATATTAACCCTTAAGAACTTGGTTGCTTTTGTGCCTGTTACTTTGGTGCTGAAAATTATGGAAGATTTTTTAAGTAGGTGGGAGGGAGAGGTGGAGAACTGCTGAATTCTGAGCAGTAGGGAGAATGAAGTTCCCTTGCTTGTCTCCTGCGCAAGGTCAACATATTGGATCTTCTCATCTGATGTGAGCAGCTCTGCTGCTGGCTGCTCTGACCATTCTTGTGATGAGAATGAAGGAGGACAGACAGGGCTGGGAAGGCAGGGAGTCTAAAAGCAACCTGGGACAACAAGAGGAACACCCGGTTGTTTGAGATATCTGTGGGAGTATCTGAGGCTCTTGGCTTAATATGCAATGAAAGTCTTGATCCGTGCTCAGCAGTCCCTTGTGGTGTTGGGAACAGAGGAGGGAGGTTCATGTGGCTTTGCTTCAGAAGTACAAGGAGTGCAGTGCATAAAATTTCCAAGGAGAGCTGTGTTTGGTTTAGTCCCTTGCAGCCTGGGCTGGCCAAGTTGGCAAGGCCTGCAAAGCTTTCACAGCAAGGCCCAGAGAGGATTTTGCTCCTCCCTCGCCTGGGACCCCAGGCACAGCGCTGAGCTCCGAGGAGAGTTGGCGACTGAAAGCGGATCACTGCAATGCAGGGGCTTGCTGCAGAGACAAGTAAATGGAGGGACCATGGAGAGGAAGAGAGATGGCAGGCATCTCTTCTTGTGGGCTTCTTCTCGATCTTAGGAGAGAAATAAGAGCCTGAAAAATCTGGGCCTCGACTCTGCAGCAGCCAGAGACTGACTTCTCTTGAGCCCAAGCTTTAGTGTCAGTGAAAGCCCAAACCTGCAGACTAAACACAGCACCTCCTGTTTACATCTCATGGGCTGGAGTGGAGCGTTTCCAAGGTGGGACAGGCTGAAGAGCTGCTGCACAGCCTATCGGCCCCCACTGCACAGGCTGAGCAATGAGCTGAGAGTCATTGGGTTCCAGTGGAGGGTTAGCAGATGACAGGAGTTTGGCAGGTCCCAGCACCATTCCTACCAGACAGGTGTCCGTATCACCACCACAGCTGGTACTCGGCGAGAGCTGGTTTAGCAGCCTCAGCAGAAAAGGCATGGAGTCATTAGACCACAGAGGTTGTACGCCCCATTTCTATCAGCAGTCTTTCCAAATCACGTGTAAGGCATGTTAGCAGGGGAAGCCTGTCCTGCTGCTGCCCATGCTCTGGGGATGATTAGATTATTTCATTCTTCAGAGCTGTCAAATTGGCACCTTTCCCAAGTACTTGGATTTTTTTTTTTTTAATTTAAGTAACATTTAATTAGTTCTAAGAAGCTAAATTCTATTAAAGGTCTAAGCATGTCAGGCTGGTTTATTTCTGAATTTTTTCCACTGTGTCATGCATGTACTGTTGAATAGGGAAGTTGCTTTGACTCAGAAATGTACAAACATATTCAAGAAGTCCTCCTTGTTAACACTAGACTCCTGTTTATATACTAGTTACCCTGGCAAAGTCTCTGATGTGTAACACTTGCATTAACATTACACATGATCAAAGGCTTCCGCGGTTCTTTCTTCCACTCCCCCTTCCCCCAGCGCTGTGACAGCAGAGCCCCCACGCCTCTCCTAAGCACCTCTCCTTTCCAAGGGGTAGATATTTCAGAAGCACAGAGAAAGGCTGTGCAGAAGGTGTCTGGGTCCATGTTGGAGGGTTAAAGCTGCTGATCATGGAGACAAACTCTGACATTTACTGCCCCACAGTCACATTTGTATTCATGGTGGAGCGTCCAAGGTTCCTGGTCCAATGCCTGAGCTGTGCCAAGTGTGCACTTCATCAGAGATCAACCTTGTTTGTCTCTAAAACCTACCCAAAGCAAGGTGAGGTTGTGCGTGTGTCCCCTCTCCCTCTCTCCCTCCCTTACTTATGTTCCAGCAGATGATAGAGACGCTCTGTTGAAATGTGTTACTGATCAAGCCCATCCCAATAAAGTTGCCTGAGCCTTTAATACATATTAATATTATCCTGGGGTAGTTTGTGTCAAAGCCTGTCAGCATGCATCATCCTTTGGGAATTACCATCATTAAGTCTCCAGTGATGGGAGTCGGGACATGCTTCTGCAAAGCTCTGCTTTTATGTGGAGCTCTCTGCCCATCTAGCACAAAGCAGCCTGTTCTCCCCTCCTACCTTGCTCACCTGGACTGCTTACTCTCCCCAGAGGGGAGAAGGAGGTTTTTTTAATACTACCTTTAGATAATTTCTGCTCCTGCTGCTTTAGGCAGTCATTGTTCTGGGGAAGAAGATGACACTCAAGTCTTTGATCATGTGCAACGTACACGTTACGCATCAGATATTCCTGCAGACTCTGACATAGGAGCCAATACAGGGCAGTAAAAACAAACTTAGAGTCCTTCTTAACTGCAAAATCTAGCACACAGAATTTAAGAAGTATCTCTGCATTTGCCCTGTTGCATGTGTATTTTGATATTATATCTAACTGAAGGATCATACATATTTTTACAAAGCATGCCTGCCTCATTCAATGCACAAAGATGCAGCATATTTGCGAGATGAATCAGAAGTGTGGACTAAAGTAGACTTTTGCCTATAGGACTTCCACTTTGTTCGTTTGTGAAAATTAGAAGGTGTGTAGTGAATGAAGCAGGTAATTGCAGAAGAATCACAACAGTCTTATGGCGAAGCTGGTTAAATGTTGCCCTGGAGAATTGGATCCTGTTCCTGCCTCTGCTGCTCTGTTCTTTCTCGATGCTATTCCAGAGTCTTAAGCTAAAACGTTCTTGCCTAGCAACTGAATTTGTGTTCCCTGTTTTCTGGACGCCCAGCTCAAGACCTGAGGTCTGATCTGTGTTCCCAGCAGCAGGAGGAGGCCGGGAGGAATTCCTCTGCGGATACTGCTGTGCACCGCAGGGTTCAGTGGGCTGGAAAACAGGGACCTGCAAATCTTGAGATGGGCACCTGCAAGAAGTAGACATTCGGATTCAATTTTCTTTTCACTCATTTTCCTATGTCTGTTCAGGAAAACCTTCCAGTCATCCTGTGAAGATTAATTCAGTGCTTGCCAAGCATTCCAGCTCCACAGATGAACACCAGAAACAATTTCAGGAAGAGATTAAAATTCATTTTTGCAGGTCAGGAGAGAGAAAGGATCTCTCCGGGGTAAGGGGTCAGCCTGGGAGTCGAAGAACCATGTTCAGCTCCCTGCTCATGCAGATTTCTCTGTGGCTTTAAGTCTCTCAGCATCTTTTAGCCTCCAGAGAGGAGCACTTCCCTGCCTCGCAGAAATGTGCAATTGAGCACATCAGGCTGTGAGAGTGGTAAGGACAGTGGGATTAGGTCCTTCCAGTGTAATCCATGCTGGCAGTGATTGGATGGACTATGCTAAATAAAGTGAAAGATATTAGGAGGGAACAGGGAAGCAACTTAAATGATAATGGAAAGAAATGATGACTAATGCTGCATTCAGTGAGCAGAACCATCCTGAGGACTGAGCAGGGCAGAGGTCTTGTGGGAGAAAAACTGTAGGTGATCCTGTGATTACAGATTTGTTTCGTAAGGCAGACATGCTCTGGGGCCAAATTAGCGTGGCTCAGGCAATCTCTGTGCAGCTATTTCCAAAGTTTTGTATGCCCAACGTCACTGGTCTCTGAGTGTAGAGAAGTTCTTTCCAGGTAATTTACTCAGTTTCAGGATGAATCCTGTTAGGCAGATGGAGCCTGTAGTTGATTTGCGGTCGGCACC